TTACCATTCTAATTTCTTCATCATTATCAAACAACAAAATCCACAAACAAAAAAAAAAAAAAATTTTCTAATTTTTTCAAACCCAGCACCTGGATTCTTTCTAGCCCTCAACTGGGTAGCCAGGTGTTGGGTTCAATCTATTCATCTCAACCAGTCTCCTTTTTTTTGTTTTGATCAATCATCTCAACCAATCTCTTACCTGAGTAGTTTCTTCAGCATCATCAAACAAAACCCACAAACAAAAAAATGAAAATTTTTGTAATTTTTTGCCACTAGGTTCAAAAGAACCCACGCCTGGTTCCAATGAACACAGTGCATGGGTTCGAAGTCATCTCAACCAATCTCTTACCTTGCTAGTTTCTTCATCATCATCAAACAAAACCCACAAACAAAAAAAAAAAAGAAATTTGTTCTAATGTTTTGCCACTAGTTCAAGGAACCCAGTCGTTGGGTTCGAAGGAACCCAGTGCCTGGGTTCCATTGAACCCAAGCGCTGGGTTCGATTGATTCCGAGGGCAGAGAGAAATGAAAGAGAAGAAGAAAAAAATAGGAAAGAATTTTCATTTTTTTATCAAGTTATTTTTTTTCCACGCCATTATTTTGTTGTCACGTTGTAATTCCACATGTTTTAAAAATGAACATGTCATCATGTAACAATAAATTAACAGGACACATAATGAGAATTTTAACAGAAGGACCAAATTGGGGTTAAAACGGTAAACAATAGGGATTAAATCAAGGATTTTTTTAGTTTGAGGACCAAATCAAGAGTCCGTATAATAGTTCAGGGACCAAAATGGGGTTTTAATAAAAAAAAATCAAAATCACTAATGTACTTCCATAGCGGCTAATGCGGTAAGCACGCACTGAGTTGTTAACGCTCTTTACGCAAAGGAATGATAAATACCATTTTATAATACAAAATTCTCATGTATCAAAAACCTTAAATAATTAAAGGTTTATTTAATTTATATATATACATATTTTTTGAACATTTAATTATGATACCGGTTCGAACAATTGCCTTTGAGAAAATGGACATAAACCTTATAAGAGTAACTAAAATCACTTGATCCTGTGGACCAGGTTCTATTTAATTTATATTTTAAAAATACATATTAAGATATAATAAATATATTATTTTATAATATAAATAATAAAAATTTATTTATATAAAAATATTATAAGTTATAAATTCACATATTTCACTTTAATTCTATAAAAATTATTTTATAATATAAATAATATCAATCTATAAAAATAAAAATGTAATAATTCTTAAATTGAGAGAGGAGAGCTGAATGCTGTACTCTCTTTCTCACTCAAGGCCTGACACAAATTGTGGGACCACAGAGAAACGCTGCGTGGCCTGCCCTCTTTCTTCCCTGACTCGATCCCGACGCAGCAATAGCAGATGCCGAAGCAGGGGGATGTTTATGGCACCTAACAAGTTGTTGGGCCACCGAAACTTTTAAATTTTATATTAAAAATATTAATTTTATTTAATAATAATTTTTTAAAAAAATTAGCATGTATATTTA